GTTAGAAGAGCGTGCATCCCAGGACACCCTCAAAACTCTTCTTTGACCCTCAGTTTTACCAGGAGGTAGCCCCAAGGGCTGAATGTGTGTTGGGGAAGGTAAGGATCCTATAGAAAAGTCTAGTCCACCCTCAGTAGGGTGGCGTCCTCACCTGGGCCCCAGCCAGCCAGGGTCACAGTGCTGACAGTGGCCTGTTTCTGGCTGACAGGCCTCCCCAAGCCGGCAGTGAGGGCACTGCTGGCTGCAGTTCTTGCCAAAGGTGCCTGGTGAGCAGGGCTGCTGGCACTGGGTCCCATCCCAGCCTGGCTTGCAGGACTCACAGTGGCCTGTGTCTGGGGAGCACGATGCATTCTGCTCACATTGGCCACAGCTGGTAAGAGAAAGAGTTCATGGGAGCACCAGGGACAGATGGAGAGCCCAACTCCTCCAACCCACCTATAGCCCACTCAGATCTTCAGGGGCACTAGAGAGCAACCAGGTCCCAGTTAGGTGACTCAGGCAGGTTTAAGCCTCAGTTTCTTTGTTTTGTGCAATAAAAAGATCGGATAGATGATATCTGAGGGCTCTCACAGGGTTCCATTTCTCTCCTTGCTCTATGATCCATCCTTCCCTAGGTCCCAGGGTCACCTGAAACTATAGTAAAGCCAGGACACCAAGTTACCACTCTACCCTCCACCTGCTTTCTGCCCAGCTTTCCTTTTCTCTTCATTTCTCCTTTCTCTCTCCCACACTATGCCATCCCTGAGATCAGGGCTCAGTGGTTTATCTTCTATCCCACAACATTAAAATGTAAAAAAGTCAATTATAGACTGCATGCAGTGCAGTGTGCTTGTAAGGCTACTTCAGTGCCTGGAACAGAAGGATTACTTTAGCCCAGGAATTCAAGGTAAGTCTGGGAATAAAGCAAGACCAACCTTAAAAAAAAAATCAGGGACTGGGGTTGTGGCTCAGTTGTAGAGCACTTGCTCACATGCGTGAGGCACTGGGATTGATCTTCAGCACCACAAAAAATAAATAAGATAAAGATATTGTGTCCATCTACAACTAAAGAAATCTATATATGACTAATGAATGACTATGACTGTTTTAACTACTATACTTTCAAGTTTACCTTATCTAAATTTTTCATTGATGCTTATCAGTAACTTGAAGTTTCTCCCTCCAGATTCTTAATTATCTGGGATGATAGACTTGGGTCAGATCCATTATCAAAAGGGAAGAAAGGAGTTTATAAAACCAGTTTAACCAATCTTGACTAGCATTTAGAAAATGAAAAAAGGAAAACACTACAGTGTATGTGTATGTATAAATATAAGGATGTATTGTCTAGTTACTTTTATTTCCGTTATAAAATGTGCTACATGTGTCATGTGGGATGTAGTTTCTTGTTCTTGAGCTGATCAATAATTGAAAGCCACTGAGTCTTAAAGGGCCATTCTTTTGAATCGTGATTCTTTTCCTAAGTATGGCTTGCTAGTATTATATCTTTAACTAATTGGATGAAAGGAGTGGGAGGGCTCAACCCAGGGGTATCCAGGGGTTTTTTCTTCTTTCCTCCCTGTCTTGTATATTTTGGGGGGATAGCACTAGGATCCCCCACTCTGTGTCTAGCACTTCTCACTGGGTACCTGCCTCTTCCTGCTCTTCTTGCTCTTCCTGCTCACTCCCCCTGACCTGGGTCCTCCCTGGTGCTCCTTGGAGGGGGGGCTCACCTTTTGCTGCACTGCACACCGTAGCTACCCGGAGCACAGGGCAGCTCACAGCGCGCGCCGTGGAAGCCAGGAGGGCAAGAGCACTGACCGGAGGTGGCACTGCAGAGGCCACGCACGCACTGACACTTCTGACGGCACTCCGAATCCCACCAGCCAGGCTGGCAGATGCAGCGGCCCGAAAGCTGCTCGCAAGGGGAGCCATTGCAGGAGCAGCGGAAGCTGCAGCGGCGGCCCCACCAGCCTGAGTGGCAGAGACAGGCTCCTGTGGACTGGTCACACTGTGATGTAGAACTGCACTGGCATTGACGGCGGCACGTGGATGACCACCAGCCCCGATTGCAGTGGCACACACCCGTCTCAGGGTCGCAACGGCCGTGGGAGCTGCAGGCACACGTGAACTCACAGCGTCTGCCCCAGCGGTCCGCTTGGCACTGGCACTTGCCGGTGGCTGGGTCGCACTGGCCGTGTGGGTGGCAGGGGCAAGTCTCACGGCAGTCGGGGCCCCAGTACTGGCTTGGGCAGCCTGCAGGGTTGCAGGGAACGGAAATCGGCTCAGGGCCAGGCACAGATCCTTGTCCCGTCCTTTCCTCAAAGCAGAGGGGTCCAGCCAACCCTCCAAGAGACAAGGACGGATCCTGGAACATCTGGCAACCTGTCCTCCTGGAGAATAGCTCACTTCCTGCTCCAGACTCTGAACTACAAAAACCCTTAGCCTGGGGCTGGGATTGTGGCTCAGAGGTAGAGTGTTTGCCTAGCATGAGTGAGGCACTGGGTTCATCCTCAGCACCACATAAAAATAAATAAATAAAATAAAGGTATTATGCCCATCTATACTAAATGAAAAAAATTAAAACAAACAAACAAAAAAAACCTCTTAGCCTGGGCCCAGCCTCCCACTTGATGGTCTAGAGCACACTCAGAGATCTTGAGTGAAAAGGGGGTGTTCCCAGAGTCATACATAGTGGGTGGGGGCTTTATTCACAAACCCCTGTTGAGCTTCCCACCCAGGGATTCCTGGGGCCTACCTTCAGGCTATGGGTCCACCAACCTCCTTTCTATCCCCCTCTTCTGCCAGAGAGGGCAGAGAGTCCGGTTTGGAGTCTCCTGCCCTCCACCCATATATAAGGTATCTATGGGGGAGACTAAATTACACAGTTAACAGGGATAACAGGCATTTTCTCTAAGAAGTTAAAAACGAGGCAAAGGTCCCAAGTGGGCAGGGCTTTGTGGATATAGAGAAAAAACAGATGACTCAGGACATCTACCAGAGGTACATCACTTCTGTAACTGGGCCTTAATTTCCTCAAACTTGCAAACTTGGGGGAATGGGGAGGCCGAGGCAGGAGGATGATGAATTCAAAGCCAGCCTTAGCAACTTAGTGAGGCCCTAAGCAACTCAGCAAGACCCTGTCTCTAAATATAATATAAAAAAGGACTGGGGATGTGGCTCAGTGGTTAAGCTCCCCTGGGTTTAATCCTTGGTACCAAACAAACAAACAAATAAATGACTTGTGGGGATTCTGGCCCTGCTATTCTAAGGTTACATTTCCATCTGTTCTGCCATGCCCCTCCCTCCCCCACCCACCACTTAGTTCTGCCCAGTAACTTCATCCTGCAGTTGAGACTCACGGGAGCTGCACTGGGCCCCGAAGAATCCAGGTTTGCATCGGCAGAGGCCTGGTTTCACACATATCTCGTCTTTCTGGCAGGCATCCAGTCCCTCACAGATAGCTGAAAAACACCCCACCCAGGTCTGAAAGTCTGGGGCACACACAACCAGGGGACACCCTCTCCCTTTTACCCACTTCAGAGGCTTTGCTCCCTTAAAAGCCACCCTCATAAGGCTGGGGATGTGTGTCACAGGATGAACCCTGATTTTAGGGCTCTGGAGAGGAAAGAGTAGGAAGAAAGGGTTGTCACTGGGTGATATCTCCCATCTCCTTGGCTGGGGGTCCAGCCTGGCTACTCACGAATGGTGCATTCTCGATCTTTCTGCCTCCAACCTGGGCAGCACTGCAGCTCAGCAGAGGGGCTGTGGGGCAGAAAGGGGTCAGCTGGTGGCAATGCAGCCCACAGGGTGAATCACTGGCTCCAGCTGAGGTGTGGTAATCTGCCTCAGACCACCAGGGAGATCGAGGGAGATCTACCCCGCTGTGCCCGTCCACTCCGGTCTCCTTCCTTGGCCTTAATAACACCTGCCCTGACTATCCACTATTTGCCAGATCATCCCTCAAAACCCTTCCCTTTAGTGCCAAGACCTCTCCCTCTACATCCTCATTCTCAGAAATGCCTCAATTTTTCATTCTCAGAAATGCCCCAATAATTCAGGCATCATCCCCATCAGTCTTCCCCAAGACCCACCTGCTGCCCATGCAGACGTGTTGCCCATTGGGATCCAGCTCAGACCCCTGGATCCCTGCAGTCCAGAGCAGCAGCAGTAGGAACAGCAGCCCCAGCCCCATGGCGGCCAATAAAGTGGGAGGACTTGAGTTAATCTGGCTCCCACAGCTCCCAACCCCCTCCCTGCTTCCTCCCAAGGCTTTTCCTGAGGAAACCAGGCCGGAGGGGTGGACTGACATGATGCTCCGCCCTGAAAGGGCCCCATGGGTACTAGGAAGGCCATACACTCAGAAACGAAAGGGAAAGAAAGGCTGATGGTAAGAACTGAGTGGGTTTATGGGTCTTAATCTGGAGGCAGGAAGGAAGAACAAAGGCCTATGTCCTTGGATACAGAGAACAGGCAAGGGGGTGGGCATGGCTTTCCATTAGACAGTACTCCCAAAGTGAAGCCAGAGCTGAGAGAAGTCTTCCATCCAGCGACCAACCAAGAAGGAAACCCCATGAGGAAACCTCTGGCTGTCCCTGCTCCTGGCAGGCTTGGGAGGTGGGATGGCCCACTAACAGACAGACATGGAGAAGTTTTTGGGTATTGTGGGGGGTTGCTTTATTACATTAGCTGGAGTTATCTGTACAAATCCTCAGACAGGTAGATAATCAGTCCTCTATCTCCTGAATGGGGAAACTGGAACTTGGAGAAGAAACACCTTTACACAGATAGCCCAAGGCTTGGTGTAGGAAAGTCAGGAAGGTAAGCAGGCTAAGCTCCCTGTCATGGTGATCACAGGCAGGACAGGAGATGAGCACCAGAGAGGGCTGTGAAGGTAGGAGCCCTATCCTCATTTGAGCTCATACATTCACCCACTGCCAGACCCCGAAGTCAGGCCTCTGGGGCAGCTGAGGCCCTCAGACCAAGATGTTTATCAAAAGCAGAGCAGCACCAGTCAGGAGTTGGGGGCTGGAGGGGTGCCCACAGGCTCCAAGTGAGGTTGCTGTGGGGCCTCCTCTTCTTCCCCTAGTTCACCGGGAGTGGTATTGCTGGTCTTAGCTTCTGAGGCCTCTGCTTCACTGTGATACCATGAGCCAAAGCTGGAGGGAGAGCCAGGAGGTACTTTGAACCAGAAAGCCAGAGAAGTCAAGGATATGGGACGAGGGCAGGGAGTGGTGGGAAAGGAGATACAGAGGGAAAAAAGGGCAGTGTGTGGTCATGGGGAGCTGAATGGGGTCAGATCAGGAGGGAGGGTTTGTTGGAGCTCAGGATAGCACGGTGAGAGGCAGTGGAGAAGGAAAGGAAAAAAAACAGGACTCCTCCTTCACCTCCCCTCCTGCCCTTCCCTTCCCTCAACATACAAACTCTGTATTCTGGACTCAGAGGGTGGGGGATCATCTCCTTTATTGCTAGAGAGCTGGAGCCAGGAGCCATCCTCATCATCACTAAGACAGAGGAAAGAGAAGATGTGAGGGCCACATATTGAGGCCCTGAGGGACAACAGGAGTTCAGCTCACGTGGAGTTTTTTAAATGGCCTCCAGGAGCACCAGGGAAGGACAGAAGGACTTCAGGGTTCCCAGCTGGAGTGAAGGAATCACAGGACATCTTGAGGCTTTTACTTTATAGCCTGGCAGGTAGCAGGCCCCTGGCAAAGCTGCAGGCCCAGAACCATTTCTCTAACAGATAGACCCAGTCAAGGCAGGAAACTGAAAACTGAGTGTGGAGAAGCAGCATTAGCAGGTTTCTTCAGCAGATTATACAACAGACAGGGCAGGTGGGAGAAGTGTGATCCAGAAAGACGATAGCAAGTGGGACCGTGGGCTCAGGGTGTGACCAGGCCAAGTCAGCAGACCCAGGAGTGACCTAATCATAGCTGCAGGCTTAGCAGGACAGACTAGACAGCAGACTCAGGGATAAGGAGGCCAGGTTAGATGGTCCAAGAAGTGACTAGATGAGATTGATATAAGGGGTGACCAGGCTGGGTCAGCAGGCTCAACTAGGTGACCACTAGGTCAGCAAATGCTAAGAGGTGGCTATCTAGGTCATCAGGCTCAGCAAAACTTGGGAGGGAGAGAGGAAAGGCTGGATCCGGGAAATGGAGGCAGGATCCTACCTATTCTCTGCTTCCTCTGGTGTCCCTAACATCTTGGCCTTGATCTTCTTTCGCTGTTTCCTGACAGCCACCTTCATGGCTTCAAGCAGAAGCCCAGGGACTCTGTGGTCTGTGAGCAGTTCCCTATAGGAGAGAGGGAGTGGCAGGGAGAAAGCAGTGAGGATGCCAACTGTAGGTTCCAGTCCAATTACCCATTTGCCTTTTTCTTCCTGAAATACTGCTTTGCACTGCTAACATTTCTCAGATCTTCCTATAGGTGGCCTGCTTCCTAGGAATACTTCCCTACTTGCTGCTGCTGCTGTTGTGACCCTTTGCGCCCGCTCTCTCTCTCTCTCTCTCTCTCTCTCTCTCACACACACACACACACACACACACACACACACACATACAAACACACATGTTTGGATGAAGTTCCAGGACAGCAGGAACTATTTAATTCATGTCCTCCCAGTACCCAAGCAGAGCCTGGCATATGTCACAGTGGATATATCAGTGAATAAAGAATTAGTGGGTGACTTGAGGCCCAAGGTAAGTAAGTGGAGGCACCTCCTCTTCCTAGCCTCTTACCGCTGGAAATAGGCCAACTCCTCCTTGAGCAGAAACACATTGGTTTTGAGCTCATTCCGCTCTTGAAGGATCTGCTCAACCTCCTCCCTGCTGAAGCCACACTGCCCTGCCTCCGGAGGGTGGTCTGGCTGTGGTGAGGTATGCATCTGTGAAAGGGCAGACATGATTGAGGAGGGCAGCCTCCATTATCCTTCCTACCTAAACCCTAATACTATCACAGGAAGGCTAGGGAAAGTGATTGGAAGACTTTGGGGGCAAGTGTGCAACAGTAGAGGGCAGCACTGCTGCAGCTGAGTGGGTCTTAGGTGCAAATCTATGTGTCACCTTCCAAAGGATTTGCTATGTACCTGGTACAACTTGCCCAGTGCTTAATAAGTGCCAGACTCTGTGGGTCTGAGTCGGGTCCCTACCTTCCTCCTGCACTCACCGGGTCCTCAGGAGTCACTGGATCAAGCTCAGGTCTCTGCTCTTGCTGGCCAGGGCCTTGCAGTGGTAGCTCACGCTCCCTCTCGCGGTCCTGTGCAGCCCGCAGCTGGGCTTGCACGGCGGCCAGCTTGTGTCGCAGCTCCGCATTTACCAGCAGGAGGCGCTGCAGCTGCTCCTGCAACTGCGGGTGGAGCGAGAAGAAAGCTGACAGGCGGGGCGCCAAGGCCCGCCTGAGCCCCGCCCCACGCCTACCAACCGCACTCACGGCTTCCATCTCCTGGCTACGTTGCAGAAGGTCGCGGTTATAAGCCCGGAGCTCGTCCCGCTGTTTGTCCGTCACCTCCTTGAGCTGCTGCAGTAGCGCATGCTCCTCTGAAGAAGGCGTGTTAGTGGCAGCCTGCAGGAGCTGAGGCCCTAACTAGTCCCCAGCCCACCCTGGTCCCGGCGGGGCCTGGACTTACCCTGCGGTCCCGAGCATAGTTGCCTACGGAGGTGCTCATTCTCCTGCCTCAACCTCCGTAGCTCCAGTTCGGCCTGCTGGGCAGACACCTGCAGCTGGGGATGTACAGGCTGGGATTAGAGCCTGCCATCCCTACGGTGGGGTAAGCAGAGCGAGGAGTGACTCACCGAGTCCGGGGCGGGCCCAACAGCAGCCTTTTCCAGGAACTCCAGTGCCCGCACCACAAGTGGCACCAGCCCCGCCGCTGCCTCTGGACCAAAACGACGCCCCAGCTCTTGCAGCTCAGTGCCCAGGGCCCCCGCTAGATGATATACGAGCTCAGCTGCTGTCGCAGACCCCGAGGCTATTTGAGGTATCCAGCTGGGTGGCCCAGGCGCTGCACTCCTGGGCTCCATTTTCCCCCCAGAAGACCTAGGGCACCCCAGCCCTCAACTAGGACCGGAAAATGCCAAACAGTTCCGTCCCAGGAAGTTTAGGAATGTAAAGGGCGGGGTAGAAGTGACAGGGGAGGAGCAACAAGGGACACCCTGTCCCTGTCCCATTCAACCCCCAAGGTCACAGGGAACCGAATCACCATTTCCCAGGCAGGTGTCCAAAAGCAGAGGCCCGGTGTTGTTAGTGGTCATTGTAGGCAGGCCCTCCCCCTAGCACCCAGTCCAGGCTCCACCCCTGTGCCCAAGTCCAGAAGTGGACTTGGCTGCTAAGCACTCCAGGCAAGTGAGACTGAAGGCCAGTGAGTGCTGTTTCTCTACCAACAGTATCAGAAAAGTTGAGACTAGACTGTATGCTACAACTACAGACCACAAGCTACAGAGCTAAACCCAGAAAGGGGAGCAACTTCTCCAAGTATGTTGAAAAATGGTGATGGTTTACAAGTATTTTTCAAAGAAACCATAAAGATAGTCAAGTCAGTAGAGTGTGAAAACCCAATCCCACATCAGTTCCTTAAGTCTAGGGGATATTCAGGTCCAAAGCCCTGAACAGGAGGGAGCCTTTTACTCACTCAAGATAGAATCCAGCACCAAGCTGTGAACAACTGTCCCAGCCCCCTGTCATTTCCACATTCAGAATTTGAGCTCAGGCAGGGTGAAAAAAAAAAGCAACCAACCCTCAATTTCTATTTATACAAAATTTATTATATGTTGTTCAGGAATACAAGCCATTAATGATACAAGCACAAAAACGAAGGAAAAAAGGACCAAGCTGCTGAATGTCACCAGCTTGTATGTGGGCATAAGAGGCTTCAGCACTTGAAAAGTCCGAAACAGGAGGAGGTGAGGAAACAACTAGGCATATAGGTCCTCGCGGTCTGCAGAGTAGACCTCTCCCTCTTGCAGGAGGGCAAAGTTGAGGAAGTGGGAGGGTCTGTGCACCTCATGGTAGAACTCTTTAGGGTTTGCCAGCTGTAGCTCATACTTCATGTTGGGATCATGTCGGACACCTTAGGTGAGAGGGAAACATTAAATGTTAAAAGGGTCTCCTTTCCGCAACCAGCCTGGGCCACTGGGCTAAGGGTAATGACATCACTTATCCCCAACCCTGTCCCTACTTCCCATGCTGCCCTCACACACAGCCTACTAACCCATAAAGTTGTAGTTCCATGAGGACTGAGCAGGAACCATAAAGAAGCCAAGGAATCGGTCTGACAGCAACATCTGGACCCTCTCATAGTGTGAGGGTAGATAACCCTTGGGGTTGTTGCCTTTGTCTGTATTCTGGCGGCCCCATTCATAGCCACTGGGTGTCAACTTGTAGGCTGTCAATGTGCAGGAACCTGGTGTGAAGCTGGAGAGGACAAGGACATGTGACAGTTCAGCCCCTGACCCGAAATGCCTACTTGCCCCACAATACTTCTTCCTAAGAGGGTCCAAGCCCACCTGCAGGTGATGATAATGGTCTTCTCGCCATCCCAAGATGGGTTGTCAGCCATGATTTTGGCATGGGTGGTGACATCCTGGGGTGACAGCTGGGGGGACTCATTGGGCTGAGTGTGGATCCAACCTAACGGCTCCATCTCCTATGGGCAAATACCAGTAAAGAACTGTTCAGAATCCCATGTGCAAACAGAACTCTCATCCATTTGACTAACATGCCTGCCTGTCTCCTCCCTGAGGGCAAAAAGGCACATATTCTCAAGCTCCTACACTTCCAAGCTTCATTACCACCACTTACTTTGAGGTACTCATGCTGGGGCAGCTGACCAGGCAGGTGCACAGTCTGGTGAGTACCCCACTGTGGAACCATCACGATGCAGCGGATTTCCTTCACTTGGGGGTTATCCGGTGGGCTCACCCCATACAGGTACCCTGCAATCTGGAGATGAGGGGGTTAGGAGTCTTAGTTCCAACCCAGAGTTAGAACAAGAATGAAGTTTCTCAAAAATGAGCCAAAACCCCTGCATCAGAATCACCTGGAGTTCTTGTTCAAAGTGTTAGACTTCTTCATCATAATCTGTGATATAATCTAGGAATCTGTACTGCTCTCAAGCTCCCCAGCTGATAGTTACTTAGTATCAATAAACAAACAAGCACACAGCTAATGAATTTTTTTTCTTTCTTTCTTTGGCACTGGGGATTGAACTGAGGCATGCTTCACTGAGCTACATAACCTTTTGGTAGCGTGCATTGAATCCAGGGGTACTTTATTGTAACCACATCTCCATCCCTTTTTATTTTTTTTTTTTCAGATAAGGTCTAATTAAATTGGGAAGATTGGTCACAAATCTGTCGTGGCTGATCTCAAATTTGTAATCCTCCTGCTTCAGCCTCCCAAGTAGCCGGTATTATAGGTATATGTCCCCATTTCCAGCCAGCTCAATTAATTTCCACAGGCTGAATACCACATCTGGAAAACCAGCACTAGCCAGAATTTTATTTTATATTTATTTTTTAGTTATAGGTGGATACAATATCTTTATTTTATTTTTATGTGGTGCTGAGGCTCAAACCCAGTGCCTCACACATGGTAGGTGAGCACTACTCTACCCCTGAGCCACAACCCCAGCCTGACAGAATTTTAAATTTTACATTTCTATCAACAAAGTTAGGGAAACTGTTTCCTATAAAATCACTCATATAGAATACTAGTTATCTTTTCAAATTTGCCAATCTGCCAGGCACGCCTATAATCCCAGCAATGTGGAGAGGCAGAGGTAGGAGGATCACAAATTCAAAGCTAGCAACCCTGTCTCAAAATTTAAAAGGACTAGGGATGTGGTTCAGTGGTTAAGTGCCCCTGGGTTCAATCCCCAGTACCAAAACAAGCAAACAAACAAAAAAGTAGACCTGATGGCCACAATGTGGTGTTTTATAACATATGAATATGAATTACTAGTAAACTTATTTGGAGTCCCTTTCTGAACCACCATTTTACTTTTAAAAAATTAACTTCTGAAAACTCCCTCTTTTACATGCTAATCCATTATCTAATCTTAGACTAATGAAATACTTTTTCATTTTTGTCTTTTGTAGTACTCTGTATCACAAGTTGTTAATTTTGACTATAGTTTTGTTTTATGTCTTTTTAAAGGAAGTTATCCCAACACTAAGGTCATCAATATTTTAGTGATTTATTTAAAAAACTGCATTACCTCTGCAGTTCAGTATTTAACATTCAGATTTTGAATCGACTTTTACTTTTTTAAAAAATATTTTTAGTGGTAGATGGATACAATACCTTTATTTTATTTATTTTTAGGTGGTGCTGAGGATACAACCCAGTACCTCATTCATGCTTGGCAAGTGCTCTACCACTGAACTACAGTCCCAGTCCCTACCTAGTTTTATTTCTGCAAGTAGTATGAGGCAGGGATCCTGCCTTTCCCCACCTGTCTCAATATCATAGGTATGCTTAACCTCCCAGATTTGATACAGCATGTTTATTTAAAATAACACATGAATCAATTTATGACCATATGCTTTTCTTTCCCAATAACTTCCCAAGCCAATAATATAGTCTCTTGGGCTGGGGTTGTGGCTCAGTGGTGGAGTGCTCACCTAGCACACATGACGCACTGGGCTCCATCCTCAGCACCACATAAAAATGAAATAGATATTGTGTATCCACCTACAACTAAAAAATAAATATTTTTTTAAAAGTCTCTTAATTGCTAAAGCTTTATAAAATATTTTGATATCTCATAAGGGCCCACATCCTCTTTGGGCTATCCTTTTACAGTTATTCATCCATGAATATTGAAATCAGCATTCCAAACTCCAGGAAATATCAGTGAGTTTTAGGCATGTAACACGTGGGGGCATCTGTGATCTCGCTGAGCACACTTACTTGGGCACGAAGGTCAGAGATGCAGATAAACTTCTTAAGCACATTCTTGGGAAGGATATAAGTGTAACCAGTCTCTTTAATGTCATCAGAAGAAACATAAATGTGATTGGTCCGTAGGTGCAGATTGGCAGCAGAGATGGCCCTAAAAACAGGACATGTCAGCACTTGTCAGCCCAAGCATCATCTCCAGTAGCACCAACAACCTCTCCATCCCTACCCTTTTGCCCTTCACATACCTGACCCTCCATTCAGTTTTTGAGGAGAAAGTCTGAGTTTCATAGTTGCTGGTTGTGGAGGTGATGATCTCATCACCATGCTTGTTGACAGTGCGAGTCTGTGTTGCAGTCAGCTGTGACTGTTCCTTTGTCTGCTTCTCGATCTCTGCTATCTGCTGTCGCTGCTGTGATGGTGCTGAGATCTCCATACCCAAGATTATGTCTCGAATTTCTGACTGTGTCAGTGATGCCACATTCACACTGTGGGCATAGTGTGAGTTACACAAGGATCCTTACCCCTTAGTTACTTTTGTTTCAACAGAAAGAGTATAACTTGATAGAAAGGGCAGGTCACACTCTCACTCAGATAGTTCTCTAGTGACACTTTTTTTAAAAGCCTGAAGTGGGGGCTGGGGCTGTAGCTCAGTGGCAGAGTGCTTGCCTAGCATGTGCTAGGCACTGGGTTTGATCCTTAGCACCATATACAAATAAAGACATTCTGTCCATCTACAACTACAAAAAAATTAAAAAGCCTGAAGTAAAGATTGCTGATACTTTGAAGATTCATCACATTCCAAGCAGGACAGCACTCTGCACACGTACCTTTTAGCTATTTGGTGTCCATAATTCCCACTTTTCCTCCACAAAAAGTGCCCTAGCGGGGCTGGGCTTGTGGCTCAGTGGTAGAGCACTTGACTAGCATGTGTGAGGCACTGGGTTTGATCCTCAGCACCACATATAAATAAATAAAGGTCCACTGACAACTAAAAAAAATATATATATTTAAAAAAAAAAAAAAAAAAAAGCGCCCTGACACAGGACACTTTTCAAAAATGGAAACCCCAGAAACTGTAGATCATTGCCTCCTACTCAAAAGTAGTGGTATTAATCACTCTAGTGGGTAACTGGAAATCAAATGGGTATTTTTGGTTGCCACAACTGCTCAAGAGGGGATGGGAGGCAGAGTGTATGTACCAACAGCTGTGATACTTGGGGTCTTAGACACATAAACTTTTGGTAACATAAGGACAGTAGAGAAATGCCCTGCTAAAAATGGAAATGGGGGACTGGGGTTGTGGCTCAGTGGTAGAGCACTTGC